ATCTAATTATTTTTCCTAAAGAGGAAAGAATTAATAATACAATACACTCATCTCAAGCTCCCTTTAAGCAACTCAAGCGCCTAGTTGAATAATAAAATTTTTCTTTTTATACACGTTAAAGTACTTTTTAATTTTGTGATCTTTCAAAGCCTACCAACTAAATACATTGAAAAAACAAAGTAGCAAGAAAAGCTCTCAAAGACCTACATTTAATAAAAATAATCAGAATATTCAAGAAGTTATTTTAGAAACAAATTTTATAAAAGATCGAAGATATCTTATGATCTAGTAGGTAAGATTTAATAATTATTATATCATTAGATTCGTCTCATTGATATGAAACAAAATGGTATAAGATTCACCAAATATTAACTGCTAGTTCGTGAAATCTTCTTGATTTGTAAATAAAAATCTTTCGTGCTGTTGGATGTGCAAATCAATTTTAATTATTTTCGTGAGTAACACAAAAAGTGCTAAAAATTACCTTTGCGTAAGTAGATTTTTTTTTGTGTAGAAGTTCTATAAGTAAATGCACAAGTGTGCAATTAAATTTAAATAAGGAGTTGCACAAAAAATAACGTATAAGAAAAATTATAAAATATAAAATATAAGATAGTCCGAAATGTTTCAAAAGGAAAATGGATTAACATAAAATACGAGCAAGGTTGAGTTTAAATTTGAGAAAAACCAAAATATATGACATATTTGGTATAGTAATTTTATAAAGTTTGTATCATTCAGAGATAGTAAATATGTGCATATAAAAAATAAAATTTATATGCACATATGATGCAACCGGCAGTTGGTTTGTGCAATCAAAACCTATGATACAACTGCATTTGTACATGTAGGTTTCGATCTGATTTTTAAACACTGAACAAACCCCAAAAAGAACATTCAATTTTATAAATAACTAAGTACATAAAAGATAGAGTTTAGGTTTAGGGGTTAGCATTAGAAGCTATAGCGATAGATGTCATTTATTATATGTAAAATTTCTCTCGAGTCATTTTATTTAGCCCAACAGGTCGATTTTAACATTAATTTTCGAGTATTTCGCTTTCTTCTTCGCACGTGTTCGGAATCTATGGCGGGCTGGTATATCTGAAATCTGTTCCAAGCATTACAATCAATTAGCAGCATGTATTAGTTTATATTTGTTGGTTTTCCGATATGATTATCATATTATGTATTTATTACTATATTCGGGGAACAACGGTTGATGAAGTTAGTAGTTTTATTTGCATGTATGAATTCTATGTTGGGTTATGCAGATTCTATGATAAAGATAAATTTTTTTACCTTTTAAAATTATTCTAGATTTTAACCCTAACATCAATAAATAGTTATATAGTAAAATTGAATAAGAAAAGCTTTTTATTAGAGCATCAAAGGTGGTTTTTTATGCGGATTTTTGGAAGATAAGTGATCTTCAAAAGGAATATTTGGATTAATCATATTATATCTTATTTTTTAATATAATTTAGAGGTTTGTATTAGGTTTATAGTCTAGCTCATCTTGCAAAATAAGTGGATTAGGCAAAATTTAGCAGCTAAATTTTATAAATAGAAGCTAGACTAGATTAAATATTATAAAACTTAAAAAAATATTTATAATATTTATAGTTTAAATTATATATAAGATTTCACTAATAAATAATATCAATAAAAAACCAAAATGCAGGAATTGACTGTGTGAACGTGGGTCAAGTTTACTTAACATCACCCAGATAAAAAGATAGTTTTTACACTACTAATTAGTACAGGATGAATAAATTGCTAAAGCTACTAAATTAATAAATTCCTTTAGTGTCACTATGTAGTTCGATTAGTTGACTTATTGAACCACATTAGCTAAATTTGGTAAGTGTTATGCAACGCAATACATTTCATCAATAAATTTGATGGTTTCGTTTGTAACATACTGTATTAACACATTTTTTCTTGAGAAAAGATGTCAATTTATAATAATATATTCGAAAAGCAGCCAAAACAAATTGACAGCCTATCGGATATTACTCAACTAGCTGACAATGTTAACCAATTGAATTTAGAAGATAACAAGTCACAAGATTTCTTAATGAAATTATTGAAGAAATGTGTAATATGTATATGCGATAAAGAAAGATTGAAAGGTCAAAGCCTCCGTTCAATTCTTGACACATTAGAGCAAATTCTAGTAAACAAAAAGCAAAGTCCAGATGATATTATCAATTTTTGCTTAAAAGATCATGCCAAAAAATTTTCAGATCACGATAGGTGGCCAATTAAAATCGAGAATCTGCCGTGCAGATTACTACTAAATTTGAAAACGTACTTACGTGAAAAGAACAGGAGGAAACGTTGTTGTTACACAAATGATTTACACACGGTGTGAAACACATAAAAAAATTATTTTACAATACTTGATCAGTCTTGATCAGTCCGCTAGTACATGTTATGATTATAATCCAACACCATTTTTTATTATAATAAAATGGTGTTGGATTATAATCATAACATGTACTAGCGGACTGATCAAGACTGATCAAGTATTGTAAAATAATTTTATTATGTGTTTCACACCGTGTGTAAATCAGCTGTGTAACAACAACGTTACTGCAAAGCCATAGAAAATATTTGTGTAACAATCGGCTACGTATATAATTTGTCGCAGATCATCGGACTAAATGAACAAACTCAATACGTAGTTTGAAATTTAAATTATGTCTGATGAAAATCGCTTACCAAATATTTACAATAATTCATCTTTAGAATGTTTAACAAAAAGCATTATTTATGATAATAAAAATCAAAATTTTAATACTTTAAAACGAGCAGACTTATCATTGCCTGATTCACAAGATTTTCTAAATAGAACCGTCGAAGAATTGTGTGAATTATATAATAAAGAAGTTATGAAAGGAAATTATGGAGATTCAATTCTTCACTCAATAGATCAGTATTTAACAAATAAGCAACAAAAACCAGAAGAAATAATTAAATTATGTTTAAATAATCAAACAAATCCTATTATTCAAAATAATTCTAATATTCAAAATATTTTTTCATGTTTCTATCAATATGGAAAATGGATTAAAAATGATGATTATCAAGCATTTATTCATTGTCAAAAATCGGCCGAGATGGGAAATTCTATTGGATTATGTAATATTGGCTTTTGTTATCAATTTGGAATTGGAGTTGAAAAAGATGACAATAAAGCGTTTATTTATTATCAAAAATCAGCAGAAATGGGTGATCCATATGGTATTAATTCACTTGGTGATTGTTATCGAGATGGAATTGGAGTTAAAAAAAATAAAAATAAAGCATTAATTTATTATCAAAAATTAGCAGAATTAGGTTATGCGATAGGAATGAACAGTCTAGGATATTGTTATCTTAATGGAATTGTAGTTGAAAAGGATGAATGTAAAGCGTTCATTTATTTTCAAAAATCTGCTGATATGGATAATTCTAGTGGAATGCATAATCTTGGATTTTGTTATGAAGATGGGATTGGTATTGAAAAGGATGAACATATGGCATTCATTTATTATCAAAAATCTGCTGATATGGGTAATGCTAGTGGGATAAACAGACTTGGACTTTGTTATGAAAAAGGAATCGGAGTTGAAAAGGATGGACGTATGGCATTCAATTATTACCAGAAATCTGCTGATATGGGTAATTCCAATGGGATTAATAATATAGGATATTGTTATCAAAATGGGATTGGGGTTGAAACGGATGAACTTAAAGCATTCTTTTATTATCAAAAATCTGCTGATTTAGGTAATGCTACAGGTATGAACAATCTTGGAGATTGTTACGAAAATGGAATTGGAGTTGTAAAGGATGAACATAAGGCTTTCGTTTGCTATCAAAAATCTGCTAATATGGGTAATGTTAGTGGATTAAGCAGACTTGGTCATTGTTATCTTCATGGAGTTGGAGTTGAAAAAGATGAATATAAAGCATTTATTAATTATAGAAGATCTGCTAATATGTCTCTAGTGAAATGAGATGTCTTGGATATTGTTATCTAATGTAAATTGAATTAAATGGATAAGCGTGAGGTAATTCTTTTTTTATCAAAAGCATTTATTTATTTTCAAAAATCCGTTAATTTAAGGTGCTATCGAGAAAGAACATTCTTGAAACGTTTATAAACATAATATTAAACTACAAGATTTAAAGATAGACAATTTTTGATATTAAAAGTATATAATAATTTTATCTGTTTTCTTTGCATTTTTTTGTGCATACGTTATTATTGAGGAGAAATTAGATTTTTTGATTCTTTCGAGGTTAAATTTAATAAAATTTTAGTTACAAATGAAGAGATTATATGCCAATATTAATAAATGATAACTTAAAAAAAAATTTCAACGAATATGGGATTATTTATCATGGATTTCTAAAGTGAATCTGATGCTATTGAAGAAATGGGACATGGAGGATTTGCAACATCATATGAGGCTGTTTACTATAGCTTGATCGAAATTATAAATATGGCACTGTTGTATCTAAAGTAGCCACCCTATCTAAAGTAGCCCTGGGCTAGAATTACGATTTAGTGCATGCATGAAGATTTAATTTCAGGGACCTAATTTTAGTCAGGCGCTACTTTATATATCTAAAGTGGCTACTTTAGATAAATCGCTACTTTAGATGCAACAGCACTAAAATGTTTATATAAGTATTTTCACGAGATAAAATTATTATTTATTTAGAATGATAAGCGTCGTAAAGACACTGGAGAAATATTTCATTTTAATACCTTGTAATAGTGATGAGCAATTTGCTGATTTTTTCACAATATCCCGCATGAGTAGAACATTACGGCGGATTGGCGGAATTGGACCTTTATTTAGATGCTCTGAATTTGAGCCTAAATTTACTTAACAACAGTATTCATTTTATTAATCATAAATAAGATATGTCATTCTCTGATATATTAACTGATATCCGTATAATTTATCAATTTGTTATAATTATTTTTACCCTTAAAATCCTTAAAATGATTAATTTAGGGTCCGTTCAAATATTGTAAATAATTTCGTATTTACCACTGAACTATTATACTATTATAGAAATAATTCTTTGGATTGTGTACCTTAGCGTTAACTTAAATAATTATACCAAATAATCTACAGTTTAAATGAATGATTATAATCCTGAAATTTGAAATAATTTGAGTCTCAATGAAAGAGATGCGTGAATATTGGCGTAAGGATTCTAGTAGTTGCGATCTTTACAAGACAATCTGACAAAATTAAATCATGACAAATATATTATTGATCATTCAAGTGTCCATGAACACTGTGATATATGATTCATGTAATTTATTTAGCGTAAATGCAAGAACGTAGACATATGAAGCAGTTGTCAAATTAGATATAATGATTAGGTTCGCATTACTTATCCAACATATTATCATACACGCCATTCCTTACCTGGAAAATTTATCTGAAATATAGGAGCCAATGCACCTATCTATCCTTGTACATATAAGTACTTGATAGGTTTCTGATTATTAACGTAACCATATATTATTGGATTGGACCTAATACCCTAATTGAATTTACAAGTGAATCCTCGAAGATAGAGCTTGGATCCGGCGGATAACGGTTATCCATTTAGACTATTTTTCGGATAACTGCAAATTTTGGATATCCGCTTGTAAATTATCCGAATAAATCCGTTGAATTAATCAAAAATATAGTCGATTCTAGATATAATGGGTTTTTTTATAAAAACAATCTAAATAGAAAATTTTTGTCAAACTAAACGAATTTTTACTATAAAAATTATTATAAAAAAAAGCTAGCCACAATCAGAATATATGTATTTTATTAATATTATCAATGCATATACAAAGTAATATAATTCTGAAAAATAATGCTAATAAATACAGTATTTTTTATAACACTACTACCATCTGTTTCGATAATAGGTTTACATGTTGTGCTTTCTTTTGTCAATTCATTACACTGGGCTTTTGATCTGTATTTAGTAGGCGAGGTCGTATAATGGTCCCATACCCAACTTCTTTTCCTTGAACCTCCTCTTTTTTTTTTAAATTGATTATTGTCCACCACATCCACTGCATCCGTATCATCTACTGCATATGTAACATCCACTGCATGTGTATTATCGACCACATGTGTAGTAATAACGTTATTAATATTATTAATCGCGCAACTTTAGAAAAAATTCGCTTGAGATTTCGCTAGATAAATAATCTTCACTATCTATTATTACGATATTACGATTATGAATAAGTCATGTAAAAAAAATTTTTACGCATACGAATTTATAAGAATTCTCTATTCAATGTTACGTATAAAAATATGTCATTTATTCATGCCAAAATATTAATGCATGATCATTATTACAAGTATCAGATAGTTTAATAGATATCCAAAAAAAATTTCTAATCAAAGTTATATGTTACGTATAAAATATACCATCATTATAAGTATCGGATAGTTATCCGATATGAACGGATATCTAATAGAAAATCCACCGGATTTTTTGAACGGATCCAAGCACTACTCGAAGAGCAAGCATTTCTGAATTAAATCATTTAATTTGTTAAATCTGCAAGTGTTTCCTTATATTTTATCCATAATTAAATAAGTCTTTTTTGAACAATTAGTATGGACATAAAGTCTAATGCAGGTATTAGTTTGTCAAATTCTAATGCTTTATTTATACATATAGGTGCTTTGTTATGTCTTTTCATTTCAAAGTAATATTTTTCTCATTTTCTTAATTCATTCATATATCTGATATTATTTAATTCATTATCATTAGTAATTACGGTTAATGGTTGAGCAGACCATAAAAGATGTAAGATAAAATATGAGAAGTAATAGTTTGTCCCGAATAATAAATTTCATTTCAATGTCGGCTCAAAAAATTGGAGCAAGAATGTTCTTTACCGGAAATTTAGAAACAATGGTTAAATGGTGAACCATTTATAACTAAAAGGTTTGCATCAGACAATTGTTTAAGTTAGAATTTAAAGTATTCTGTGTAATTTCCCATCTAATAACATGATCCCAAATTGATCCACCATCACCATCCATTTGAAATTATGAAGCTTTAAGATAGAGGCTAAAAAGAGCGATAAATTCATCAGAATAAAAACAATATTTGGATACTTTTAAAAATATTATCCCAAAAATATTAAATCAATTTTTATTTTTAAAGATAGCTTGCTAAACACGAGAAAATTTTAAACGTAACTAAGAAACTTATTCACAATTAGAAGCGAAACTAAAACAAATTACCAACAATAAGCTTATTAAAATACCTGGGTATATTGTATAGTGTAGGATCTCTATTTAAACTAGGAAAAATTTCAAGTGCATACACGTTCTTCATTTAGATATGCGGTTTAGTATTTCAAAAAAATAGGCTACACACGATTAACGAAATTCCAGTGGGTATTTTACATGAAGGATAAAGAGAACCTTTATTTAAAGGTGTAGTAGATTCTTTATCCTTTCGCTGATCCATCGTTTTCATTAGTTTAATTTAATTTTATTTTGTAAAAAAATTGCTAAACGATAGTAATGATAAAAACGTTTGCTCAACAACAATTGCAATCAATATTTTAATTAATTATAATACTTGAGCATCAACACGATCGTAAATTAATCCATTGTAGAAGATACATGAGAATATTTCAATCATATGTATCATCGTCCATGCTATCTTCAACATCATACTATCAGTTCTCAAAAAATATAATACCATAATGGTTTGCAACTGTTTCAATCTATAGCAAATCACATCGTGCGTGCTGCTTGAGAATTGATTAAATTAAAAACAAGTCAGATTATGTAAAAAAATAGAATTATTTTGGATCAAACAAGGAAAGGCAAATGTACGTACTGGAAAATCAGTAATCCAATTTTATACACGCTACAATGGGGTAATAAAATCAAACATTTGTCTAATCTCATTTATTTTTGTATAATGATAGATTTTTTGATTAAAAAATTATTATCAAAGTTTTATAATAAATGAATAGTAAAATTTTTTTTGCTATTTCTCGCTTAATAAAAGGTTTTCTTTTCTAATTTTAAAGACATTCAATTTGCATATAACAAATAATATTGAATTTTGAATTGTAAATTTATTAATTTAGACATTTGTTTAAAAAGTTCAGTATAGATTCATCGGTGGAGCTAGAATTTTATGGTTTCAGAATCCTTTAAACGAACTCTGAGTCTACATATGTGGATTTAAATCTCAAAATAATCTTGTGAAAATGGAATTTCACGAATGAAATACTAAACAAATTTCAAATAAATTTTAATAGTAAGAAATATAATAAGATACTGTAATTTTAAAAAAATAGTACTTGTGAGCAGCAATGACAGTAACTGAATTAAGTTAAGATTTATAGTTAGAGTAAGTCATTATACAGTAAAATTTGCAAAGTCTTTTGTCAGAACACGAAAGTTTGTTTCATAAACAATTTTGTGATTTTTAAACATCGTGAAATTTGACTGTTATTTAAAAATATTTTCATTATACGCCAATTAAGTTCGCGCAATTTTTATTTTTATTTTTTTTTATAGAAAAAGAAGGAAAAATAAATAAATCCTGTTATTGAATGTTTCGCATCTAGCTTTGAATTTAATGTGCTCGCAAGCTGTACAACTAGAATAAAAATCATATCCCTAAAAAATTTTACAGTCAATCAAATTTCAGATGTAACGTGCACGATCAAAACAAACGTTCGTTTTGTCAAAAATCGCCCATAACTTAAAATTTTGTCTGAAAGGACCTTCTGCGCATTAGTTAAACTTTTTTCTTGAAAATTTTTGATATTATCCTTTCAAACCAAACCTAGGAGCAAAGCCACGCCCTACCTACCTATGAAAATTTTACTTTGAAATAAATTTGAATTTTTGGTGGCGATCCTACTCTTGTGAAACAATTATACTGTTATTCAAAGGATCATATTATGTCGCATAACCTGCAAAATAAAACCGTTATTGGATGCTACAGCATCCAATAACTAACTATATACGATATTAATGAATGACTTTAACTTAATATGGTTTCTGTTTTTTGTTACACTAAAAACACAAATATGCATGCGGTTGATACGAAAAGTTTTCAAGTTTAAGAAAACTAATGAATAACTTTGTACCACTTTGACTAAACCTTAAAAAGTCATCTGCTACCTCTAAGCTTCAGAATTTGCTTCTTTAAATAAAATGGATTCAGAACAACTTCATCAACTTGGTTGCAAGTATCTATATGGAACTGGTGTTAGAAAAGACAAAAAGAAAGCTTTTGAATGTTATATGAAAGCAGCTGAGTTAGGAAATCCGGCCGCGATGAATAATGTTGCTGATTTTTATTATTATGGAGTCGAAGTAAAAATAGATTACCAGAAATCATTTGAATATTATAAGAGATCTGCTGATCTGGATTATGGTAATGGAATTTGTAATGTTGGTTATTGTTATGAAAATGGAAGAGGAATTGATCGAGATTATAATAAGGCATTTGAATACTACAAAAAATCTGCTGATATGGGTGTTAATGCAGCTATGAGCAATGTTGCTCGATTTTATCGAAACGGTATCGGTACAAATAGAGATATGCGGGAGGCAAATTATTGGTTTAAAAAATATAGAAGTCTTTTGAAAACCCGTAAATCACCAGATCAGATTAATCCTGCACTTAAAAAAATATTAGACGATGAGAGATTTAAATTATCTTGGATTGATTATAATGAGTTCAAAGATATCATGGAAAAGGGAAAAGGTGGATTTGCTACTGTATATTATGCAAGTTGGCGCGATAAAATTAATGGTACATTGAATAATGTTGCACTTAAAGTGATTCATAATTCAAACGAAAATATGCATGAA